TTCGAGTGGTTTTTTCCTAAAGGACTAATAATTTATCTTCCTGAAAATGTTCACTTTCACGCTTCTTTCTTTCCCTCCTTTCATTTTCTGTCATATGCTGTTTTCCAAGATTCATTCTCAGTGCTACCACTAACCCACATTCAAAGCCACACGATGTTCGTACCCTTCAACAATTTTAAAGGTCTTTCATCATAAACAATTAATCATGCTTTCATATGCATAGTCATTCCTCTGTCATGTGTACATACAGACACATGCTTAAGCCACATATTTGAAACAAACAGATATAAGTCATTACTTATCAGTCATAGCTTGGGTCTCTGAATGACCAAGTACCTTTTATTGTACTCTCACATTTTGTTTCCAAGTATCCATTCGTGCCATATAACAGATTTTCTCCCTCCCTACACCCCATCATTCAGAATGTTTCCTAATTTTTCCTACAACTCGTCTCTAGTTCTTCTATCATCAACAGTGACTGAAGTATAACATCTCCAACTTCTGAACTTTCATATGTACCTGTAACAATCTAAATGATACTTTCTGACATACTCTTTAGACCATTTGTTCACATTTAAATCTACACTTTTATTTACTTGCAGGAAGTTATCAAGTTTACTCAACAAGGCATTTCATTACGTTTCATTTGTTGATTTGTGGTCTTTACTATCTACTCTTCTTACACGTTGAATCACAATCTTTGATTCAACTCTTGACTGCAGACTGCAGTCATCACCACCCACTAACCTTCATACATTTGCCCAATTGAGGCTTTTAAGGTCTATTTTAATAGGCTAGAGAAATATAGACTAAATTATCAGATTTAATCAAACTTATGCCAGATGCTGCATTTCCTGTTAAGTGTTTGGACAGTATTGGTCAGCCCTGGCACATTTGGGCTGGCATCCAACAAACACAACCAAAGTTCAATTCTATCCCATACAGGCTAATGTTTCTCAATCTCCACTGTACAGGCCACATTAACAAGACAACAACCAGTTGCCCATCTCACCAATTAGATGGTCTGGGCAGTGTACCGGTAGTCCTCGAATTGCAACAGTTCATTTACTGACAGTTCAAAGTTACAACAGCACTGAAAAAAGAGACATGACCATTTTTTCATACTTATGCCAGTTGTAGCATCCCCATGGTCACCTGACTCATATTTATGATGGCTGCAGTGTCCCATAGTCACATGACTTCCATTTGTGACTTCTGACAAGCGAAGTCAATGGGGAAGCCTGATTTACTTAACAACTGTGTTATAATTTAACAGCTGCAGTGATTCACTTAACAACTGTGGCAAGAAAGGTCGTAAAATGGGGCAAATTTCACTTAGTAGCTGTCTCACTTAGAAAAAGAAATTTTGGGGCTCAATTGTGGTCGTAAGTCGAAGACTACCTGTACTGATACGCATTCAGTATACTGACGCTGCATAATGAGATCCTTCACTTCTAAAGTTTTTTAAAAGTAGAGAAATTCCAAGAAAATTATTAGGGTGGAGGGGGTTTTGAGAGGGAGGGCAGTCCATTCAATTTTAAGCGGCTGTTGATCTTAACCTTAAGTACTAAAAGCAACTTTTATTCAGAAGGTCAAATTTAAGGAGATAATAAAGTTATTTGTTCGCAGCATATTTGTGAGAACAGCCTAATTCCTTGTCAAAGTGGTGACAGATAAAATAATATTGTGACAGGGTTAAGAACAAACAAAAAAAGTTGCAATAGACTGAGGAATGGTTCTGAATGCAAGGGAAAATAATGCTGGTTTTTTTCACCTAAGCTTATTTGAAGAGAATGAGGGTAAGAGAAAGTATAACAATTTACTCCCAAAGCAGACCCAACTGGTCGGAAAAAAAATGGGAAAGAAATTATTACAAACTAGAGCATCATAAATTTTTCAAGACTACTTATTTGCTTTTTCTGGACTGAAGCTAGAGGTGACACCAATATATGTCTGAATGCTCCCAGGAAAAACTCCAGCACATAGAAAATTAGTTGTCAGGAATCAAACGTTCAGCATAGCTTCTTTCTTCAACTAGCTTTCTCTAGACAGGGAATTTTAGAACGATGACTACATTTCAAAAGCAGTTCTGTAGAATTTCCAGCTGTTGTGCTTCAGAAGGCTATTTGGGAAGACGTGTCTGAATGCCATCACCCATATAGACCAGTGGTGAAATGTAAATTGTTTTACTACCGGTTCTGTGGGCATGGTTTGGTGGAGGGGAGGTTAATATGACTGAGTGGGCATGGCCAACTTTTTTTTTTTTTTTAAACCATTTTTCTACAATCTCTTCGGCTGAAGAGGTTGTTTAAAAAATGCTTTTAAAGCCTCTGACGATCCCAGCTGACTTGGCAGATCGGCAGAGGCTTTTTCTTTTTTTTTTAAGCCTCTGACGATCGCAGCTGACTTGCCTGATCAGCAGAGGCTTTGTTTTTACTTTTAAAAGCATTTTTTCTATAACCTCTTCAGCCGAAGAGGTTATAGAAAAAATGCTTTTAAAAATAAAAAAAAGCCTCTGATGATTGCGCGGCTTAGCTGGACAATGGGGGAGGCAGGGATTTTTGCTACCGATTCTCCGGACCACCCGCCTCCATCGCTACCAGATCGGGCGATCTGGTCCAAACCAGGAGCATTTCACTTCTGATATAGACCCATAAAGAAGAATCCTGCATCAAAACGTAAATGCTGTTCCTAACCTATGTCTCTCTACCTCTGCAAATTTTCCATAAAAAAAGAAGACCATCATTATAGAGTAGGAGCAACATCCTCGGTAAATCTGTTCCTACCGTGTGCAGTTTATGTCGGACACGTAGAATCACTTAAAAACCTTTGCTGGAACATTTAAAAAAATAAAGTCATTTGGCTATAGTTTGAAATTTCAAATTTCACAGGTTTCCCGTCTCATTCCACAATTTTCTTCTGTAAAATGTGTAACCGACTCTTATTCATGTGTGCGCATTCATATGTTGCCTCTACTGTTATTTGCAGCTCAAGATCATATAGTAAAAGTTTAACCACTTTTTTTTTTTAACCAACTGTACAAATTGTTCATCAGAACAGGATGATCATATGTTAGATAAGAGGGAATAAAAGGGAGATAATTTTGCAGGGAAAATAACATTGTGAAAAAGTTGATAGTAAAGGTTTTGCCCTAAATTCCAACTGTACTTTAAAGCTACTCTCTCTCACACACACACATACACACACACCTGTTTGTACTCGCAGCATCTGAGAAAACAGTGACTCATTTTTCTTAACTGCATAACTACTGGAGAACCTGTGCTCCTTGTTTTAAAGTTTAAGGTTTAAACAGGGAATAAATATGGCTTTTTTTTCCTTGACAGTAGAAAAAAGGAGGCTAGGGCATTCTTTAACCAAATGTTTTTCAGGCAATAGGAATAGTAATTTCATAGTGAAGAACAACTAGTTATTTAAATAAATTTTCTTGACTAAGCCAGCACATGCTAGTTTATGCAAAGAAGTTAGTTATGGAGCAAGGTGTGAGGATGTGACAAAATGATCAAGATTACATTAATATACTTTTCCTTAAGATATCATAGAATAGGTACTCTCCACTTAACTATCATTCGTTCAGTGACCATTTCAAATTACAATGGCACTGAAAAAGTGGCTTATGACCAGTTTACACACTTACAACATTGCAGCATTCCCTTGGTCACGTGATCAAAATTTAGGCACTTGGCAACTGGCATGTATTTATAACAGATGCACAGACCTGGGGTCACGTGATCACCACTTGCAACCTTTCCAGATGGCTACTGACAGCAAAGTCCATGGGGGGAAGCCAGATTACTGACTGCATGATTTACCTAACAACTGCAGTGATTCACTAAACAGCTGTGGCAAAAATGTCATAAAATGGGACAAAACTCACTTAACAACTGCTTTCCTTAGCAATGGAAATTTTGGGCTCCATTGTAGTCATAAGGTTAATAACTACCTGTATAGAGCAGTTTCATGCACATGCCTTTCAGAAATGAAATACAAGGAAAATTGAACTATGGCAAAACTAAATGGGAAGTAAGAATTTATTCTACATACTGCCTTCCTTTTGACTACCACAGAATCAAACAGAGCAGAATAAGTGCTGGTTTCTGAAATATAACCATTAGTGGCTGTACCAGGAGTTCAACTGAGAAGAAGTATGACAAGACTGATCTTCCCTTCTTTCCTCACCTACCATGTATTTCACTATGGCTGCATCAGTATCAGTTCTGAACACCAGAACCAAAACAGTATGTAGCGTATTTCTCGAAAAAGGAGGCCAGGTCTTATTTTCTTTTGACCCCGGAAAAAATGACTAGGCCTTCTTTTTGGAGGGTTCTAATTATTGACTCACCTCGCGGCAATGGCACTGACAGCCCCACCCAGCAGGAGTCCGCTCCTGGCCCACTTCTTCTGTGGCTGCTTGCCACCCCTCGCACGCATCACCCCAGCCTCCGTTTTCCCTTCAGATGCCTGCCGGAAGGCATCTGCAGCTGATAACAGAGCTCTGTTATCACCTGCAGATGCCTTCCGGCAGGCATCTGAACACAAAACGGAGGCTGGGGCGATGCATGCGAGTGACGGCAAGTGGCCACAGAAGCGGCCGCAGAAGGCAAGGTAGGTGTCGGAATATGCGACGCCTGGTAAGTAGGGCAGCTCCACCCCCCATCCCCCCCAGCTTATTTTTTACCTGTGTGCCTCACCCTACCCCCTGCACTCTGGGGTGGGCGGGATCTTAATTAGGGCTAATTTTGTGGGTGTGGCTTAATTTGATTGCATGTGCTCAAAAACATGATAGGGCTTCTTTTTAAGGTGGGTCGTGTTTTTGGAGAAACACTGCAGAATGTTTCACATTGTCATAACGTTGGAGATGACAACCCAATGTTCAAGGATGAGTAATAAAGGCACCAAAACTCATAATTTAATTTACTTGGAAGATAAAAACTTTATACAAACAAGAACTTGAAGCTTCCATAGCAGCTCACTTTGCTTACCTTCACGTATCTGATGAAGTTAACCCATGCGTTATAATACTATTATACTGAAGGTTTTTCACATTGTATGTAGTTCTCTATCAGATGTATTACATGCCCTGTAATACAGAATTCTCTAGACTCTGCAATTTGAGATACAATATCAATAATCCATGATTATAATAGCAAAATAACAAAATCAAACACAGCCTATCTAAAATGCAAAGACAAAACCTAAGCCACTAGCAGGGTACAAAAGTTAATTCCACATGCCAAGAAATGAAAAAAAAAATACTCATAAAAGTCTTGAGAATACTGAAATACTTAAAATGCCTAAGATAATGGGAAAGGGTTAGCCTAGAACTGCAAAGACAGGAATGTGGTTGGATAGAAATATTTCCCTAGAAGACTTAAATAATAAAATTAGGCTATTTTTAATCTGAACAGAAAACTTTTATATTAAAAAGTATACACAGCTAGATAATACACCATACAGATTAGACCATAGGTTTCCACATGCTTACTAGAAATTGTTCAATCAGAGCACCAGTACAAATGGATCACATTACTCCCTACCTCCGACTGGAAAGCACAATTGTTATTTGAATATTCAAAGAAGTAGTCTTAGGTTTGCACAGGGCTATGGGGACCAACAGCCTTTTGTGCCCCATTAACTTTCCATGCACCCTAAAATATGCCCAGGAATCCTTGGAACTTCCTTAACAGTAAAGTTGATAAAGAAATGGAAAAGAAGTTTAAAATTAAGTCATTTCCACCATCACCACAATATTCATTAACTTCATTTAAACAATGTATCTGACAAATTCCAGCAAACTATACTTTTCAGGTCTAGGTTTCTAAAGTATATATGCAGTGCACAAATCACACACATGCAACAGGTCCATGCATTATGGGGTATAAAATACATTTTTAAAAAAATCTAATATAGAAGCTTCAATTAAACAAAGCAGCTGGGACATTTAAATTGGCCTTTTTTTGAACAGCAAGATTCCCTTCCCCACTTTCCTTCTGTTCAATTGTGTCCAATTTTTGAAGACTGCCTGGGACAAGTCCCTGCAGTTTTCTTGGCAAGGTTTTACAGAAGTAATTTGCCACTGTCTTCTTCCCAAGGCTGAGAAAAAGTGATTGTCCCAAGGTCACCCAGCTGGCTTTGTATCTATGGCAGGACTAAAACTCGTGGTCTCCCAGTTTCTAGCCTGATGCCTTAGCCACTATATAAACAGGCTTTTTGTAAAAAAAAATGTCTTGTTTATTAGTAAGACCTTCAACACTACAAACATCTTAGTCAAACAGGACACCAGAGTTTGGAGCAAAGTTTCTAAATAAGGATAGTAGAAAACCTGGATGAGAATGTTAGCATTTTAATAAATACTACAATTATAATCAGATTATGCGAATTCGGAAAAGGGGGAGGAGGAGGATGCAGTGTGTGTGTACATATGTATTGTATAAAATGTCTTCAAGAATAAGTTGCAATGCTGTATGAAATTAAGCACACCTATAAATGAATAAACCCAATTCTTACTAGTTTCACATTATACTTTTCCATGCAGGATTATATTTGTTAAACATAGTAAAATTTTTGAAACTAGATTATTACAGTATAGACAGTCTTAAGGGTTTTTTTTCCAGAGTGCTTGAAATTTACAGCAACTCATAAATTGGTTAGGAAGATTATGTATTTACTACCCCATTCTAACCATTACATTACCATAGCAACACAAAACTTAAATGCCAACCAACTGATTTTAACATAATCAGGAGGAACTCAGTTTGAAGCCACAAAAGTGTCTTTCTTCAGCAATCATACCTTATGACAAGAAGCACACCTCTAAAACTCAGACCATATTATTTAAAAGAAAATCATATTACTACTGAATTACCCAATACATATATCTACCATTTCCAGTACAGCCATTCCCCAGAAGCAAAACCAAGTGCATTCACGTAGACAAACATTTGAGGCCATGAACATTTTTAAAGTCCACACACTGGCACATAGAGGCGAACTACAAAGATAGTTACTGCTGCTATTGAGTCAAGAGTTCTGCAAATTAACTCAAGACTTCCAACAACTGTGCCACAACCTTAAACTGTGCCACAGCAGAGCTTTTGTCCTGCCTGATAAAACACAACCAATCACACTTTTTTTCTTTTTTTTTTCTTAAACACAGCTAAACTTGTAGGGCAAGCTTACCAGTTGAGCGGCAATGGGCACTGCTACACAAGTACGGCACTGATGGTGAACAAGCCCTTAGTCACTATGCAAAAGCAAGCAAGACTATTTCTCGCCATAATTTGGGGGCGGAAAGGTGGGGTGAGAAAGAAGACAAAATTAAGTGTAGTGGGGTTTTTTTTCCCAAATCAGGACGAGTTTCTTTTTCAGGGGGACACACACGTCTCCTGCAAGGAAGAAGCCAATACTTCAATGTTGAAAGAGGGGGGGGAGGAGGAGGGAAGAGAGAGGAAGAGGAGTCCCGGGACAGGATTTTAAAAATACATTAGGATAGCTATGGTTGACTGGGGGAGGGAGAGCAGTGTAGTTACCCAAAAGGAGAAAGCAAAAAGTCTCCAACTCTGAATCAGAGAAATGACCACCCCGCCCCCTGGAAGTATTTGCTGCAGTCCCAGAAAGTTAAGAGAGGTGCCCTTGAAATCCACCTCCCCAAATTAGGATTTCCCCCCACCCCACCCCGCCCCAGGCTCAAAGGCAGAGGAGGAGGAAGAGGGAAGGGGGTCTGGCCCAAGACTTCCCCCCCCACACACACACAGCAGCCCCTCCTCTCGATCAAGGGGGGGGGGCAGGCGCCCACTGCCGCCACCCAGGAGGTGGGGGGCTCCTCTCGCAAAGACCTCCACCACCCACCAACTCCTTTGGCCCAACCGCGGGAGGGAACCCGCCCCTGTGGGGCCTCCGTGGTAGATCTGGGGGAGAAGAGGAGGAGGAGGAGGAAGGCAGGGAAGGGGGGGGGGCAGAGAAGCAAGGAGGCAGCCCAAAGGAGAAAGACACTGACCTGGCTGGGGGAGGAGGAGGAAGAGGAGGAGGAGGAGGAAGAAGCAGCAGCGGCGGCAGCAGCAGCAGCAACGAGGACGGCGCCGGCCACGCGGGTGGATGACGAGGGAGGGAGCCCGCTCCCCTTTAAGACTCTCGAAGAGACCGGGGGTGGGGGGGATTTAAAAAAAAAAAAACCAAACGAAAACGAGAACCAGGAGAAGGTTAGAAGGGGAAAAAAATTATTCCGGTCGGGAGTTAGTACAACAAAGAGGCGGAAATAGCCGAACCGAGCCGAACGCGCCCGAGCGGGGGCGCCCAGAGCATGCGCGCTTGGGCCAATCCGAGCGCGCCGCCCCCCCCCCACTCCACCACCACCACCACTATTACCAACGCGGCTGGGTCTGCTCAGCAGCGGCCAAGTCCTTCAGACCTCGGCGGCGGCCCCAAAGCAGAACGGAGGGGAGGGGGGGTTGGCGGGAGGTGGAACGGCAGAGCGCGAGCGGGAGGACTGACGGCGGGGGGGGGGGGGCTCGCCAGAAGTGGGAAGAGCAACGGCGGCCCCCAGCAGCGTCCGCCGAAGGAAACGGGGAGGAAGAAACACCCCCCCACACACACCCCTGCCCCTCTCACCTCGTGCGCGTTCCACACCTTCCGTTCCCATGACAACGGGTTGCTACTTCTGGCCCGGGTCGTGGCTTTCTCCTCGCCCCTCACTCGGGGTATGTGGGATGGCGGTCGGGTGCAATCCTACAGGTGGCTCGGTGTGTGGCGGGCGCCCTGAGTACTTCCTCGCCCTTGACCGCTCCTGCTGCTGCTGCTACCGCCGCACTTGGCTTTGCGCTTATTAAAACGGCGGCGGCAACCCCAAAAAAACAAAACAGGTCGCCTTGCAGCAGCGTGTGAATCCAAACTTGCAGCACCGCCTTGTTGAATGAAACACCTTATAGCCTCGAGGAGGAGAGGGGCTGGGTGCGGCGGAATCAATAATCTTTTAAGAAATGCGTGACCAAGCTATCTATCCAGCTCGGGCTCGTGTAATCACAATTAAAAGATTTGATAAATTGAAAGTTTGAAGTTTTGGTGGGTTTTTACAAATGCGGGGGAGGGGGGACACTGCACGCCATGTAGAGTAAGTGCAATTGGTTATCACCCCCTCCGAGTGCTAAATAAGGTGGCAGTCCGAGTTCATATAAGTTTGTGCCACGCTGTAGATAGGGGCACTGTCCCAAAAGTACTAGGTATTTCCTCAAAGAAATGACATTCCTGGGGAAGACTCGCGTGGATGTTTCACGCAGCAGCTAATGCAAAGCTAATTGTAGCACTAAATAAAATCTGGTGTGCTGACAGAGAAACCTGGTCTAGCCCAGAGAAACACCCCAAGGGATAAAGATACAGAACAGAATAGTTAAAATGATGATCAGCGTGGTCCTGCTAATGGTTTAGTAACAGTCAGGGCTCCGGTTCAAGAAATTCCCCTATCACAATTTCACAAGGTAGAGAAATTAAAATTATTCTTGGCCGCTTGGGTAACCCTCCTATCATTATCATGGAGAACCTAGAATATGGCTTGAATTTCTAATAGTATCCTAATAGATATCTCCTTTTCTGCCTGTCGGGGTCACTGCAACTCTGACTCTTTAAAAGTCTGACTCTTTTAAGAACTTTTTTAATTTACTTTTTTTTTTAAAGGGGAAAAAAGGAAATTGGTAAGCTTTTAAAGCAAAAACACTAATTCTGGTGTTATCTTGATTTTTAAAGCCTCTAAGACCTGCATTGTCTCTAGAGGCATTTGTGGATGGGCAGGTAAGTAATAAACCTCTGAGAGGAGAGATGCAGCGAATATTTTCATCAGCTTGCTTCTTAATAAATGAATGCTTTGTAACTTCACAATAATCTTTGGTGAGAGCATCTGCAACGTTTCCTCAAAAGTCCAATGGTTCCAAAGTGGTGGTGGTCTATGGATTATAATGTAACCATCATTGGGTCTTGGGACACCAATATCTGTATGGGAATCGTACAAATTACAACTCAACTATTAAAAGTCTACACTACAGCATGGGACTATATCTCTGGTTCATGTTGGAATTTACAAAGGACAACAGATATGGTAAATTAGGAATAAAATTCATAATGCAGAGAAAAGCACACTGCAGAAAATAGTTTATTTCAGAACACTTCCAAGAACTAGAACCCACCGCTGACAACTTCTGCGAATACTTCTCTTGAAACACTGGTAGCATTGTTAGAGTGGCTGTGTCCCTATGTTCATCTCTGCTGGTCAGCTGAACTGATTTATTTCAAGTTCATCCTTGATGTATCAGAAAACACTGCAAATCTGATTTTCATTCAAAATACTACAGCTGCTTGAGAGCTTGTATCTCATCCGTCTCTGGAACTGAGCAGAAGGATGGTTCCATTTTGCTTTTTCACCTTCCCACAGAGTAACAACTGTAATTTTTAGAAATTCCCAAACACGAATCACAGTGCAGAGAAGGACAGGCACTACCAGTTGGGTACTATTTTTATCTAATTGGGTAGGTTAGAAGGACCAACCATTTGGCTCATGGGGGATTCTCAACAATTCTAGGTCAGCTATCGTGAGGGCAAATATAGGTATGGTATTTTTGGGAAATGAAAGCAATAGCCATATGAAAGAACTTTGTTTAAATACCCCATAGGAACATCATAATGGAATATTACACATAAACTAGACCTGTGCAGTCCTTGGAACTGATTTCAGCAAGATGCTTCAGAATATGGGTACAAAAATAATACCTTTCTCAACTCTTTTAAGCCATATATAGCTGACGTGTGATCCTAGGAAGAAGTAGAGCTGCTTTAGAGAGTTGTACATAGGTGCTATGTTCACAATCCTGCTCACTTGGATGCAGCTATTTGGCAGCATATTTAAAACACTGAACAGCTGTAACAAACACCCAGTGGCGAAATCCATTTTTTTTAACTACCGGTTCTGTGGGCGTGGCTTGGGCGTGGTGTGGCTTGGTAGTCGTGGCAGGGGAAGGATACTGCAAAATCTCCATTCCCACCCCACTCCAGGGGAAGGATACTGCAAAATCCCCCATTCCCTCCCCACTCCTGGAAGAAGGATATTGCAAAATCTCCATTCCCACCCCACTCTGGGGCCAGCCAGAGGTGGTATTTACCGGTTCTCCAAACTGCTCAAAATTTCCGTTACCGGTTCTCCAGAACTTGCTGGATTTCACCCCTGCAAACACCCCAAAGCAACCCTTCATGTTCAACTGGGTGTGGTAGAGCATACTATTTCCTCCCACCCTCCAAAAAAATGAACTTTGTTGTACAGCTGGTACATCCTCCTCCTTCCTACTCATCAAATGCTCATGATCATTTTTATCTTGCAGGATTAGCCTGGATACATGGAGCAAAGCAAATAGTTATCCATACCCAGTGGTGGGATTCAAATAATTTAACAACCGGTTCTCTGCCCTGATGATTTCTTCCAACAACCAGTTCACCAAACTGTTCAGAAAGTTAACAACCAGTTCTCCCAAACTGGTGCGAACTGGCTGAATCCCATCACTGTCCATACCCATATTTGCACAACATCTGGCATGAAGCATGCACACACATCACTACATAGGGAAAGGTTTTTGAGACATGAGCACTTCTATGTGACTTCTTCACTTTTTCTTTCATACCCTTACAAACATCATAGAGGATCCATCCCACATTTTGGACTAAGGCATACTGAAATAACTGAAAATCAGCTTTGCGTGTATCTTTTTTAGGAGCTTCACAGTCTATTGTCTTGATAAATAAGTGATTTTGCAACTTGAGTCAATACGAAGTTGATGGGCCTCTCTTTTCCTCCCCTTTGTAGGAACCTCTGGTTCTGCTGGGTCCAGGACAATGTCTACTCTCTATACCTGGGCTGTTAAAGAGTAGATCTTTCACACTTCAAAAGGGAGAGGTGGGATTCAAAAATTTTTACTATTGGTTCTGTGGGTGTGGCTTGGTGGGCGTAGCAGGGGAAGGATACTGTAAAATCTCCATTCCTGCCCCACTCCACAGGAAGGTTACTGCAAAATCCCCATTTCCTCCTGATCAGCTGGGACTCGGGAGGCAGAGAATAGAAGGGGGCAGAGCCAGTCAGAAGTGGTATTTACTGGTTCTCCAAACTACTCAAAATTTCCGCTATCGGTTCTCCAGAACTGGTCAGAACCTGCTGAATACCGCCTCTGGAGTGTTAGTATCATGAAATCAAATATAAAGAATTTTGAACAGGAACAATGAGACTTATGGGCTACCACCTGATGGGCCTATTTGGCAAAAGGGCAGAGACAATGATTTGATTATATGGGTGGAAACAGCAATGCGAGACAAAACAAATGTGTTGCACTCTACAGGCTACTACTTTATATCAAGTACTAAGCAAGCTTTCAGAGGCTGAGGGCCACATTTAACATTCAGGAGGAGCCCAAGGCCTAAGAGTACCAAGTGATGATTTCATTGACTGAACTGAGATTTGGCCTTTGCTTTTGTAAGCTATATTAAACTCATTTTAGAAGTTAAGAACCACAGAATGAAAACCACATAATGAAAACCACATTATGGGGGTTTTTTTCTGAAAAATGGCAGACTCGAACTAGTTTTAGCAAATTGTCCAACCTATTAAATAAGCACAGGAGAGAGTATCAGTTGTCTGGTCAGTAGTAAAAAAACAACCCAGAATGATACAATTGTGAGTTGTTGCAACACCTGGCTGAAAAGTGCTTTGAATGTTTAATAAAAGTTTACATGAAGTAATGTTTTCCTTTCCCAAAGCTGACCTAAGTGAGATTCTTTCCAATCTTCTTCCTTCTAATCCATCTCCCTGATTCTGGGGAGGTTTCATTTTAACAAAATTGCCATGTTTTTTCTAAGGGGAAACAAGACACAGGCATAGAAAACTAGATGTGGGATGTTGTCATGGAGAATATGTGGTCGCTTCAACATGGTCTTGATGGCAAATCAATGTGGGATGTAGACAGTAATTTTTTCATTTTACTTTAGCCCAGTTATCTAGCAAAGCTGAATGTTTAGAGAGTCAAGTTAAAACTGGGCTCCTCTTTCACGTAGCACATAAATGAAGTTCATGACTGCAACATGTTATGGTGAAATTTTACCAATCAGTAGTAATAATAATGATAATATAATCAAGGTGTTAACACATCTAGGAATGAATACTTTCCTTGATGCCTCCTATGTTTCCTAAGCCATCCAATTTTTCTTTTTAAATCCTTTTAATTAAAAAGAAAAAGAGTAGAAAAGTAACTTATCAAACAGAACAT